TCGAGGAAACTTCACAAATCGAGCTATTTATACTAAACATAATAAAGTTTTAATCTTGCATACTAAACAAATTTGGAAAAATTGTAAGGGTATCTTTCATCCTCGAGATACCCAATTCCTTCAAGCTGCACGTGAACAATGATCTGATTAAGGTCCGAGCTGATGCAGGAGTGAGATTAAAGGGAACTTTGGTTAGCTTTATATGCAAGGGCCCCTGTTAAGGACTTTTCACAGTAGATCCTGTGCGTCCACGTTCGGTAGCCATTTATCTGCATCCTTAGCATCGATCACGTGACCGTTTTGTTCACATTTCCTTCGAATTTTCGTTGAACAGAGTATAGTTCTCGCAATATCGTAATTTGGCAGATTTCATAAAAGAAAAGATACTGATTGACAGGTCAAAGAAACTGGAACCTCTGAGGAAATCCCTGGTGAAGTATGACGTGCATAGATTGTTAGGCCAATAAATGAATGATGAAAATGAAAAAGGCAGAGGATTTTTGTTCATACAGATAGGGTGTTGACAGAAAAATTGAATCTTGTATTCTTTTACACTTGACTATTTCCTTTTAGAGGTTATTTCAGTGTAGCATGGGTAATAGACCTAGTAGACAACTCGAATGTTCCTCGTAGTGAAATATTAATGCTGATTCAATAGAACTCAGCTATAAAATTTGTCACAATGTACGTTCATGAAATTTTAAGTCCAAGTGTCATTCAAGCAGAGTAATTGGTTTTAACTCTGCATCATTTTAGTCATAAATCTAACAATTCGTCGCGAATTTCTATAAATATTTCGAAAGAGACACGTCGTGAAACTGGTGGTGAGAAACGGACGTTATACGATGTAATAAATCTCTATACGTTTATTGCTTAAGACATGTCTCGGTGTTCCACTTGCTATGCAGCCAGAATGTCTTGTAAAATATTTCTATGGATACCCTGAGAGGATTTTTATGTCTCAATTGTAGCAATATCGTTGGTAACGAATTTTCCTCGCGAAGGAACTATGACAATAGTAATTCAAGAAATTTTTTAATTCTCTGTAAGCGATCATTTTTGCAAATCAAGGAAAGCAGTTGATTGTCGAAGAGAGAAAGTAGAATTACGTGGAAATTAATTTTACATGCTATTTTCTTCGTCCTAATCGGGTTAATGGATAACGCTATTTTCGTGGAAAGAAAAATTCATATCCCAACTTCCGAATTTTATTCGAACGAGATAAACTGTCTTTTATAATCGAATTGACATCAGAATTGACATTCAGTAATGACAAGCGGGTTAAAAAGCAGTTTAAAAATTCCTAAAGCCTGCACCAATAGACTTACCTTCTTCTCGACATACCATGTCTTTGTATATTTAAAAATTTGTACAATTAGGAATAAATTATAATGCATTTTTTACTAGTATTATAGGATACCATTTCGATAGAAATTGCGAATCGGCCATTGCCAACAAAAACAAATTATAAATCGATCAATATTTTCAAGAAGCAAATGGAAAAGTTATTTTGGGTAGCAAAATTAAGTTGCGTGGCCCCTACGAATAGGTGAAGCGTAGATTAAGAAAAGCATAAAAGCAGGGCCTTTGACGACCAAAACAGAGTCCTTAGAAATTAACATTAGATTTACGAAACCCGTCAATTTGACGGATGGGTTGCTCCAATGATACGACGGTAACAGATTTAGTTAACTTCTATTAAGTGAAACCCGTCAATTTGACGGATGGGTTGCTCCAATTATACGACGGTAACAGATTTAGTTAACTTCTATTAAAACCGTTAATATTGTAATTATTTTTACATTAAACTAATCGTTAAAAAGAGAAAAAACACGTAGTTTCCTTTACCTGTAAATTTCATAGGTGTCAAATATGTAGAAATAGGTATGCAGATAGCGTCTGTAAACCTAGTATTAACCCTTTGCACTCGAGAGGTGACTCTCAGTCATCGTTTGTTTTAATGCTATAATTTAGATAATGAATGATGATAATTATATTCAGAACATCGAAATAAAATTATTCTACTCGTTCGTTTCACACGTAAATTCACGATTTTCTTTTTTTAACTTTAGCATAAACAGTATCAGTGAGCTTATAAAAATCTAAGAAGAGCTTCGAATTGCATCTTCGCAACGAAGAAATCTTCGAGTCCAAAGGGTTAATTGTGACTGACAAGAGCGTGAGTCTCTCGTTGTTAGAAAGAGAGTTAAATTAGAGTGCGTCTTTGTGTGTTTTCGTTGCATATCTTGGTACTCTTTTCCAAAGTTAAATTAGTTTTATGAGTTTTATGTTCGTGTTATTCTATCTTACTTTTCTGTCAGTTTTTGGTGTCTCAAAGCCAGTTTTCGCCATTCTACAGAATATAACAAACCAATAACAATAGAGATACATTAAAATATGCAAAATATTTTGCATCTCTGCATCTTTGCATCGAAGGAACCATCTCAACGCGAAAATAGACCTTGCGAGCTCTGCCATAAATAATCCGGGCATACTATTGTTACCTACCGTGTTACCTCTATGCAATGAAAGTTATCATAATACACATGACTGAATATTTCTTTATTTCTTCAGTCTTCCAATTGTACAGAACGAAAATTACGAGTGCCATACATTCGTGGTTTTATTTCAGAAGCTAAAATGCGTAGCCAAGCTGGGGTAAAAACGAAAACACATTGGAGTTAAAAACGAGGTTTCCTGCGCGCTAATCTAACGTGTAAAATAATTAGAACGCTTGATGCTTCTTTTAAAAGAACGGGAACGAATTTGCCACTGAACCTAATACCTGGCGCGGAAAATTCTAATTTAACTATGTGACCGCGTCGCGTCAAAGTCGGTGAGGAGGTCTAAAAGCTTGGCAGGAAGCACTCAACAGGAAATGGTACCGGTCTGGTTATCAGAAGTTCGTCATAGCGCGCGTGTTAAAAGCCTTTTAGCGATCACTTTATGCCGAGGGATTTGAACTTGAGGCCCTAGAATATGATCGAGAAGTTCTTCTAAAATGTTAGATACTCGAATGCTCGGAGTGCTAGGTACCAGGATGTTAGATAAGCTCTTGTACATAGGGTGTTAACACGTTCACGGTTCGTTGAACCGTAGACGAGACGAGCCTGTTCCTTACCTACGTGTTTGATGACCTATCTCAACGTGTACCTGAATCACTGGAGTTTGAAATCAGGAATCATATGTTTTTAACACAGGGTGCAGTTTGTTTGAATTTTCCTACGTATATCACAGCGTATGATATACACGTTCAGGTGGAAGAATGTTAGCATAGGTCTTTTTATTAATGAGGTTAACGTGATTGACAATTATAATTTAATTTAACGTCCTAGTACAGTATAGCTTCCGAAATCTTAATTAGGAGAATAAAGGAAACTCTGAAGAAGCTTAGGTTAGCATGTTGAAAATGTATCACTGAAATTATTGTGCATTACTTATAATCCGATATTATTAATTATAGGTTAAATGATGAGTAACCTCTATAATAGCATAACGAATAATTCGTTCGAACAGTGTAATTAATTTTATGAAGTACCTCACTTCGCTTCAGTACACGTCCTTTCTTTCATATAAAATTGGTGTTATGTGACGTTTGTAAGATTAGTATCTTTATTTGAAATGGTATCAGGAAAACCATACTTAAGGGGGTATTACTGTAATCCGTCATATAAAAATCGATATTTTGGAATTTTTTCTCAGGAAACTATGTTACATATTGGCATGCAGTTTTGGTATTTAGATTTATTTATACTTAGAAAATATTTATAATTTTTTTTTAACGAAATTATTGAAAATTGTGGAAATTATATAGCCTCAAGAAAATCGTGTTTTTAAAAAAGAGCTAGAATGGCGAACGTGATTCCGGTCCATCTGGTTATCCAAAAGGAAAGAACTAAAAAGCATCTTAATTAGTATAAATACAGCTATAGCATGAACTACCGAAACAGCGAAATTTCGAAAATTAAAAAAATAGTAGCATTTTGAAATTTAAATATCGATTTTCCTCGTATTTTCAGCCTTTGGGTGGTAAAAAAAATAGAAAAAATCGTCAAATTTTGAAATCCATGGTTCACTCGATAAAGTTACATCGACTGAAGGTCTCTACCAAATTTCGAGTCAATCGGTCAACTAAAACGCGAGATATCCCGTCAGCCAGTTCGAAAAACACGGTTTCGAGAAAAACGCGTTTGAAGTTTTCCGTACCCATTGTACAATGCCTATACGTCACACTTTAAACATCTATAACTTCGCTAATTTTACGAATTCGAACAAATCCTTTCACACGAACATTCCCAGAAATATACACTTTGAGAAAATGTAAAAAAAAAAAATCGACATTTTTAAGCCGGATTATAACAATACCCTCTTAAATAGCTTAAGACACAAACAAATTACGATTCAGTGCAACTCAGAATATTACAAAATTTGTAAACAACAGATATAAAATAAACAATTATCAAAATTTTGATATCAAGTATTAACAATTAGAATTAAAGAATTAAGAAACGTTATTCTTTCTGTAGTATAAAATAGTAATTGCCAGAGAAGACAGGTATTCCCTATTTGAAAGTTCCCTTACCTCATATCCTCAGATGCTAGGGAATTATTACTATTCAAGGCTTCCAGGTGCAAGTGGTGTCCAATAAGCAAAATATTCCAAAATTTCTCCAGCATTCCAGCCAGATTCTTCAAAGGTCAAACGACACACCGATATTATCTATGCAAGCCTAAAATTCTCGACTTGGACACTGAAGGTTGCACTCTATGTCAAACAGCAAACGTGTCAAGGTGTCTCGGGTGAAAAATATGCACCTGTCTCAAACTAATCTTCACCTCGAATCGTGAGTGTCAACTGTGACTGATTTTTGAAGAATCTCAAGAAAGAGAAATAAAAGATAAATAGAGAGATTTTCCAACGAAATAAAATCCCAATCACAGGTAAGATCGATGTTTGGAGAACAAAGAGAGTGACAAAGAGAGACTCGTGATTCCGTCGATCATCACACCTCCACGTTAACAGCACAGTTTTATTTTTCACCGATCTGATCGATACAATCGTACAATTTCTTCGATCGATAGATTATATTTTTCTTCTTTTTTTTCACGTTTTTTTTAATCTTTTTTTTCATTTTTTTCCTGTTTAGTTCCTTTAATTCTCGATTACACGGTGGCGCAGGCTGCTTTCCGCGACTTCTTTTTGAGTCGTATCTGAGTTGACACGAATAAGTAACGCTTACAGTACACTTCATTACAGATTCAATAATATATATATATATATATTTATATATTTATATATATATAATATATAATAAGTATTTTTTATATAAATTTCTTTATGTACAGAGGGCAGCTTGCCTAGTAGGTTCGTAACGCCGAGCAACGACTGAAGTAATCGATTGGACGCTGTCTCTTTTTCATTTTTTTTTCTCCTTTTTTAATATTTTTTTTTTTTTTTCATTTTGTTTTTTTTTCTTCCTCGATGATAATTGACGCCAAATATCGATGCGCTTTGTTGCTCCTTCCCGACTATCGATTCGTGGTCAATTAATGGAATGTTTAAAAAATCCTAAAACTTGGAATACAAGCCTCTTCGTTCAACGAAGAAAATCAAGGAATGCCCCACAATTACTTTTAAGAGTTACTCGAATGTATCAACGTGCGTATGAATAATATAAATTCGACTCTGTAGATGGTTGTTCCTCGAAGTAAATCCCTGTAAATACAAACCAGTTCGTTTTCTAAACTCCGCCATTTTGGTCTGTCTTACGTTACTTTAATCGGTGGATCGATAGATATAATCCCGTTCGATAGATAAAATGGAGAGTGGACCAAGAGTGGACCAAGAACGGACCAAGAATAATCGAATCTCTGCTTTGCCCGTGCGAACTTCCAACATGATATTCGGAAAGAAAGGGGTCCGACGTGCACGGATCACGAAGCAAAATGGCCGACTTGCTCCACCTATCGGAACCTCGGTGTTCCTCCGGATCGATCCGCAAAGTTTCTCCTCTTATTGTCACGCGATCGTAGGAAACAACGGAATCTCTACCAGCCCGATACAGAATTTTTACACGGAACCAAGGAGTTCTCGGCTAAATTCCTCGCCATTCCCTTCATTTCACCTCCCCCGATCATTTACGAACTCGTCACGCTCCTATCATTAGAAATATACTCTCTAAACGTTCCCAGTAACTCCCACGCAGTTGCGTTATATTTTCTATTATTCGCGTTAGTCTAACGACGTGGCCGTGGTGAGAATGAAAGTTTCCCCGACGTTCCCCAACGAATCATTTACGTTACATTTCCGCGTTTAAATTTCCCTATTCTCCCGTCGAGCATCGACACACGTTCGACGGGACGTGCCACTGCGAGATGGCGCATCTATCGACCTCGAGAACAGCGGAAGCCTCTCAATGGAAGACGAGGCTTTCGCGAGAGTTGCTCGAGGGTTGCTCGAAAATCCCGTCTATGTGCCGAGCGTCCACGTCAACGTACTTCAGCCGTCGCAACAATTCTATTAACATCGTCTCAGGTGCCCGAGCTTCGAACGAGCCTTCGAGGATCAAAGTTTAAAGTTGTGCATCAGATCGACGTCGTCGAGATAGGTTCGAGGGAGAACAGCCTCCAGAAACGAGTTCCTCTATAAGAAGAAAGGAAACGTCATTGAGAATACCACACGTACAGATATATTTCGATTTTTCGTTCGTTACCAGAGCTGCGATTTGTCGCGTCCACTGCGCGCCTCGCCAGGTCCACGGCACGTTAAAGCCCTACTCACACTTGAGAAACTGACTTCGCTTATAAGTCCAAGGAACCATGCCGAACGATACGTTAGACACAGCGAGATTCACTAGTCCCCTCATGTGTCAACCCTATTCCCTAGTTAGCGTGCATTCGTCAAGCGTGAATGGGGCTTAACGCGATCCTAGGTCGCTTTCCAGTTGAACATTCTCGGTCATCGATCCGGGTGCGCTTGAAATCGTGAACGATTATCCAATGAACCGTGCTTCTTCGAAACGCAAGACATCCGGATTGAACTGATCCAGTAAAAATAGAGAAGAGGAGGTTGAAAAATGGCGGCTGTGACCAGTTCGTTCTCGGGATACGCTTCGAAGAAACACGTCTCGTGATCTCCTCGCTGTTGGGATGTTTCGTTCGCAGCGAGACCTTAGAGAAAATCTTCCGTTAACATTGGGCTCGATGCTTAGCATTTCGTTTCGTTTCACCCCAAAATGGCGAGCCCTTTCGTTATTGTCCAACCGTTACTCGTCGATGAATCGAGCAGAAGTTCTGATACACTTGACCCTTCGCGGATGCTTGGTTCGATGGAATGCAAGCGAATTGCGAGTAACAGAGTTTAGAAAAGTTGTTCTGCTAGATGTAGCTGCTCAGAAGCGTAACCGAGTAAAGTATTACTCCATAGTAGAGACCAATGGCGTGACAAGAACGCGTGTCTACGAGTGTCTCGAATCTTCTCGTCGCGACGACGAGTCTCGCGGCGTTGCTGTTTCTAAGCTTCGTACGACCCCTGACCCCTTCGAGCTTCCCCGTCGAACCCAAGAAAATGATTGCAACGTCTGCTCGCAATCGGACTCGGATTAGCTCGATGGCACCTCCGCGTAATCAGGCTACAACCGTCATACATATTTATATATGTATACAGGGCGAATCGCGTGACTAATCGTTCTCGTAATCGTCAGTGGGTCGATTCTCGAGTATCTGTTTGGACGTTGAAAAGAAGTTGACCATTCTGCCTCAAGGAATCCCTTGACGGACATTCGTATACAGAAGATGGGACCCTCGATGAAGTTTTCATTAACAATAAGACACACCGGGGTCGAATTTTAATTCAACTTGGTCGTTGATCGAGTTAATATCGAAAGGAGGGAGAAACTAATTGCAATTATTAAAGACTAATACCTTTGGTAGAAAATGGGCATGAGGTGTAACCTGCTACAACCTAGGTCTTTGAATAAATTGAAGAAAATACTCGTGTCTTGTAAGTATCCAGTGCGAGAGCCCGATGATCGAGTCCTCCAACGAGAAGCAATTTTTGGCTAATCGAGTTTCGCGGTTCGCCCTGCGCATATACAGTATTTATGTGCACATATATAAATATATCGATCGAGAAAGGAGGAAAGAAAAAGAGTAGAACGAAGAACGGCCGGAAACAAAGATGAAAAGGAACGACGAACAAAGTGAACTAGAGCCAGCGTTTATCACTCGACCTTCCTCCTCCTCTCTTTCTCTCTCTCTCGCTTCCTCTTCTCCCATGCACACGCACAGGTACACACTTTGCATACACACGGCCACGTGCACACGCGTTCGCACACACATATACAGGCATACACGCGTTTTCTTCTAATATTTCTTCTTTTCCCTCTCTTCCTCTTCTTCTTGTTCATCGTCATCCTCTTTAGAACGCTTGCAGAGCGATTGGGTGGGTTACCACGTTCTTAGCAATTACAATCGTCCGTTGGATTGGTCGGCTGGTCGGTGAGTCGTTGACCTTTCGCCTGGCCCATTCCACCCGCGATCAGGGTTGGATCATTGTCCAGGGACTCGCTCATCTTGTCGCATATGATGTCCACCAGCTGCTCGAACACCGTCTGTGGGCAAGAAACGGTCAGGTTAGGTCGTTTGTCACCCTTCCAAGTGCCCATTAACACCTCCTGTCCTCGAGGCATAATCAATGAAACGGATATAACGAGGTCGTAGGTCCAAGCATTAACGTAGCCCTACCCAGATTCCTGCAGGTCTTGCAGCAACACTCTACTGAATCACAACTGTCAATCGTCACTTGTGATATTGAAAATTTTTGTATAGTGCGCTCGAGAAGAGATGGCACAGCGTGTTTTCATCCTCACTAACTCCGCTCCTGACTAACTCCGCTGACACTCCCTTGATTACAGACATTGACCGCTATTGGCCCAAAAACAGGTGACGAAGATCATTGACAGGACGTAGCGAGACTGAATGACAGGATATGACAGAATTGGTGTACTATGCATTCAAAAAGAGATGGTACAGCGTGTTCACATCCTCACGACTGACTAAGTCCGTTGACACTCCCTTGATTACAGACAGTGACTGCTATTGACCGAAAACGGTGACAAAGATCATCGATGACAACGTCACTGTCGGTGATCATGATGGTGTCAGAGGATGTTAGCTGTAAGAATGTCAACACGCTGTGCCTTCTTTTCTCGAATGCACAGTACTGTCTTCACAGCGTTGCTGCGTATAGTGATCGCTATTGACCGAAAAGGGAGACAAAGATCATCGGGTGGCCGTAGCGAGATGGAGTGACAGACGTTAGTTTTCTGTTTCATAATAACTTCAAAGACTATGCCAATTCTGCCATATCCTATCTCACTCGGTCACTCTACAGCCTGCCAATGATCTTCGTCTCCGTTTTCTGTCAATAGCGGTCACTGTCTATAATCAAGAGAGTGTCAGCACAGTTAATCAGTCGTGAGGGTGAAAACACACTGTGCCATGTCTCCTCGAACGCACAGTAGTCTTTGTAGTTATTATGAAACAGGAAACTAACGCCAATACTGCCAAATGCTGTCATACTCGATCACGCTACGGTTTGCGAATGCTCTTCGTCTCCATTTTCTATCAATAGTGGTCACTGTCTGTAATCGAGGGAGTGTCAGCGATATTAGCCAGGCTGTAAACACGCTGTGCCATCTCTTCTCGCACGCACAGTACAATTTATAACCTCGTGCCGAAAGATTTGACATTGAGTACAAGACATAGTACTCGTAGAAGTTGTCTGATGAGTTGTACGACGTGCAATACTTTTGCAAACGTGTTCCACAGAGGAAGAAGCAATTTTGAGTTGCTCACTTCTCGAATTGCTACCTGACCGACTTTACTACTCCATTATATCGCTTCCACCAACTGTAATTTGACCTCCAACTGATATCTCTAGATCATAAGTGTACTTTAGCCTTCAGCTGGTATCATTGAATCACAGGAATCGCAGTTGTACAATTTTAAGATCACTATAGACAGCTCTTTTGTCCAACCTTCGTGATCCTTTGGTATTTATCATTGACTTGTCATTTTTGGGACTGTACTTGGGACCAGAGTGCATTGTATGCGACCATGATATTAAATTAATAGAATTGATTAACAATGAGATGTTTATGAAAAAGTATTCGTCGTTATTGGTACAAAATATCAATGAGCTTATGGATGACCTAATATTAATTAGGTAATCAATAATGTTAGTTAGGTAATCAATGTATTGTCATGGTAATCTAAGACGTTTCACGCAACTTGCAATTTTTCTCGTATCCTCGATGTTGATAAGAAATATTTGCGCGAATATTGTTTCATTTCGTCATGGATCGCGTATTTTATTACATGCAAGTGGACCACTTCGTACATGTAATATGTAGGTCTCGCTACGTGGAGTTCGCGAAGTGTGATACAGCAACGAAGGAGAGACGGCCTTGACCGATCCCTATTATACATTCGGCTCGTATTTCAGCTATAGGAATCCTGATCTTTATCTCGGGCGTGATAAAAAGCATTTCTCTACGACATAGCTTTCATTTTCGGATTGGTTAATCTTCGAGTTGCTCAATATTTTTCTGAACTAGACCTAATTCCTATCTAGCCACGACCTAGTCAATGTATACGAACATAATAAGCGCCTTTAAACCCAAATACATGTAATTAAAAGTTTATTACGAACAAATATGAGGAACTCCCAATTCCTTGGCATCCACATTCCTACATCGAGTGTAAAAACCTGAAGTCGAAATTTGGAAAACTCGCGTCACTATAGCGTCTTCCATCTACTGGCCCAAGATTGACACTGACTCGAGCAAACATTTTTGTCAATCAAATGTTTAACCTCAATTTTCTCATTACACCGCTTTTGAGCATGGTGGACAGCATAGCAAAAGAACCGATGATCCAATTACTTTGAAATTTTTTGGACCTATGTCCAAGACACGTGGCTCTGGCACTAATCACTGCCTGAGAATCTAAAAATTCGGCAAATTTTTCAACAAAATTGTTTCTTAGGAAAAATTTGCCTTTCTCTATCATCTTCGACTTCGTGATTTTTCTTTGAACTTGTTCGAGGCTCTAAATTTGATAACTGTGGTTAGTGCGATAGCCACATTGTTTGCCTTCACTCGCCACATTCTTTCATCCTTGGCAGACTTTTTCTCTGCGCTGTATCCTGTCCACCATCAAGATCCGCTCCATTTTGGAGACGGTTAATTCAAGATTTTTTCCCGGACACTTCCGTTGAGGTATCTTTTATCACAATTTTTTTCTAAGTAGCTTAAAGTTAAAAGTAAAATCTGTGAAAAATTTACACGGCTACCTTCTTTCAAACATTTTCTATGAATTTTTAAATGAAAGGTTATGATGGAGGTTATGTTATACTGGTCTATCCCCTTGAAATAGATTTAAATTTGGAATTCCTTGGTATTTTAATTATAAGTGTTGATATTCCTATTAATATTAGTCGTTAGATGGTGATAATACAATGCGACAAGTATAACCTAATTATGTAATGAGAAATTGTGAGGTGTAATCCGAAATATTGTCACATAAATGTCTGTTGCGATATTTAAATCTACCCAAACGTTTTCCAACGTAAACCCCATGGTTCGTGTTCTACAGTGTGAAGGTAGACGGAGACAAGCATGGGTAGAAAAATCGATCGAGTGGACGTCGATATGTCAATGCCAATAGGTTCGACCCGTTGTGCTAGGGTGATTAATGGGTGCAGATGAGCGGTAATCGAGGATACCTGGTCGAAGGTAATGGCACACTGTACACACACCTCGTGGATGGAAATAAGTGTGGAAACGTGACGCGATAACCTTTCCAGCACGCGATCGCTCTGGAGCTAGATAATGGACTGGGTAAACAGTCGCGGAAAAATGAAAATGGACGTGGTTCTACCTGACGTAGAACACCTAGTGTCACCCTACACGGTGTGACAAGAATTAACCCTTTGTACCTTGACAATTTTTCGATTCCATCGACCAGCTTATAATAAATGTTCCAATATTTTTGTCTACAACATACCTTCATTCGACAGTACTAATCTTTCTTTACGAAACCAAATTTCACTTTTGTGGTAACGAAATGGGTGAAGCCCTGAGAGAATGCGAAGAAAGTTTTGGACGTAGAAATAGAAGAGAGAATGATCAGTATTGGATTAATATGTGTGAGTGGAATGGATGCATGGATGAAAGTGACCAGATTTGTGTAAGAGGATCGAGTTGAAGGACTATTTAAGGTAGAGAAAATTAGGTATGTTTTTGAAGGTTAAAAATTACTGTAAAATGAAGGGTTACATAGAGTGTGAGGTCAGTGTAGAGGGGCAGTTGTGAGTTGTCGTTGAGAGAGAGAGAGAGAGAGAGAGAGAGTTGTGGAAGATCAGTTTTGTACGAGTCAGAGAATTGAAAGTATAGCAAGTGAGAGAGTTGTGTTATCTTTAATAAATTTGTTATTTTTATTTTTAAGAATATTCAATGAACTTGTTATTGTTATTGAAGAAGCCTCATTATTCCTCAAACCTACAAATTTTTATCTATGAGGAATTTAATCAAAATAATCCTTAAAAAGTGTTAGCTCATCCTACAAATTAGGGGCTCGCCCTATAATAAGAACTATATTCATGATCATGCAACTCCTTTTGCCAAGATATACCAGTTTGAGGTGACTCGACAGACACTAAAAATCAAGAAGCATCATTACTCCTTAAATCTGCAAAATTTATCTACGAAAGATTTAATCAGAATAATCCCTAAAAATTGTTGGCTCATCCTACAAATTAGGGGCTCGTCCTATAATAAGAACTACATTCATGATCATGCAGCTCTTTTCTCAAGATATAACTCTGTGGGGTGACTCGAGAGATACTGAAAATCAAGAAGCATCATTACTCCTTAAATCTGCAAAATTTATCTACGAGAGATTTAATCAGAATAATCCCTTCATATAAGGGCTCTTTCTAAAAATTGGGGGCTCGTCCTATAATATGAATTACATTCATTATCATACAGCTCTTTTTGGCAAGATATACCGCTGTGGGGTGAGATACTGAAAATCAAGAAACATCATTACCTCTTAAATCTATAAATTTTTATCTACGAGAGATTTAATCAGAATCATCCCTAAAAATTGTTGGCTCATCCTATAAATTGGGGGCTCGTCCTATAATAAGAACTACATTTATGATTTTGTAGTTCTTTGTGCCAAGATATAACAGTTTAGGGTGATTCGAGACATAATGAAAATCAAGAAGCGTTATTACTCTTCAAATCTACAAATTTTTATCTACGAGAAATTTAATCAGTATAATCCCTTAACTATAATATAGTAACTATTGTATTGTACATTGATGATCATGTAACTCTTTATGTCAAGATGTACCACTGTAATGTGACTCTAGAGGCACTAAAAATTTCGAGATGCGTGTGAGTATTGGTTTTATGAGAGTATGAGTGTAGGTTTTATATGTGTGAGTACACGTTATGCGAATAATGGGGTAGAATAAATGAAAGTCATTTCAGATGATATAAATATATATCATAAATACGTGCGAGTGGAATCTAGCATGAATGTTGTTAAAAAATGTTTAGAAGAATATGTCAGAATGAAATAGTTACGTGACAATCGTCAAATAGCAAACATGTGTTAACCACTTGCGGTGCAATGAAATTCACGGTTGAGCGTGCCAGAACAGTCGAGTGCAAATCACTTCGGGGCGCGTTCAGGCAGCGTTTGGGGGGTTCCAGAAGAGAATATAAAGACGCATCAACTGATGATGAAGTGGAAGCAGAAACTGTGCCTCGGTAAAGAATTTCATTAACAGTTGACGTGCCACGCACGTTATTTTTCTTTCTGCAACAATCGCCTGACGACGTGTGTAACACGTCGCTGATGTTCCGGTAACAGAAGCATCTCGACGTGCGTGGCACGTCTTTCCACCGCAAGTGGTTAATAAGAGTGTGAGAGATGGAGAAGAATTTTCTAGATAGCGTGAATCTTTTCCTTGAAAATATTATATTGCGAATTGGTGTCGTTATTTAAATTTTATTCTATATTAATTTGTAACAAGAAATTGGTTTCCATTTCTATCCGCGTTTGTTACCATTTTCTCTCACTCACTGTGAACTTCGGATTTACCTTGATGTTGATGTTCTCTTTGGCCGATGCCTCGAAGAACTGGACGCCCAATTGGTCCGCAAGCTGCTTGCCTCTCTCGGTAGTGATTACCCTCTCGTCCTCCATGTCGCATTTATTGCCGACCAGGATCACCTGGGCGTTGTCGCACGAGTAAGTTTTGATCTGTGTGACCCAGTCCTGCACCGAATTGAAGGACTCCTCGTTTGTGATGTCGTACATTAGGATGAAACCCATCGCGCCTCTGTAGTAGGCCGTGGTTATCGTTCTGTATCTTTCCTGGCCTGCCGTGTCCTGAAATAATCCACGCGATCAGTGGAACCGAGGTTTCAGATTTCCCAAATGCAACAATCCGTTATGGAGTTGGTGTCTATTCGATATTAACGGGAAATTGATTATTTCGTGGTGAACATTGGTATTCCAAGAAGGAAACGTAAGTTAAGCGGCTGTCGTAAACAAGGAAGCGATAATGCACGATTCGGGTGATAAATGAAGCCACGTGCGGGCAAACTTGCGGATAAACGTTCAGAGTTATATTTGGTCCGCGACTCTATTTCACGCGTGAAATTCTGAAACGATACACAGATGGCTGGGAAAAAGTTTTCCCAGCGAGTCACGGTACTGCGTGATGGTACTTTCCTTTCCCGATCTTGACAGTGCTTTCGAGAAATTGAAATAAATTGACGACGAGAAAGAATGTAAAGCGAAGAGGAATGATGGAAAAAGAAATTGCATAAAGAAGAAAATAAATTGAAAATAGTGGATTGAAAGAAAGGAAATGAATTAATAATGCATTCCAATAAATTGAACAATAGGGAAATCAATATAATGTTAATATTATGTTCTTTGATAATAGATATTCTCACGATTGTTAGAATAATTTGGAATAATTGAAGTAATTATTTCAATACATAAATGAAAATGGTGTGATAGTATTATTTATACTAATTTGGAATAATCATTTTAAGATAGTTATTCAAGTTTGTAATTATATATACTAATTATGTATTCTGATGTTACTAATATTACTTAGTATCATATTCTCTGATCATAGATTTTCTCACAATTTCCACAATAATTTGGAATAATTGAAATAATTATTTCAATAAATAAATGGAAATAGTGTAATAATATTATCTATATTAATTTGCAATAATCATTTTAAAATATCAATATAAGTATGTAATTATACAGAGTGTCTCCAAAAAAAACTTATACACACTTTAATACCTTATTCTTCCTAATTTGTATTAATTTATTATAATATAAATATAATTTATTTATAATCACGCAAAGTGTGTATACTTTCTTTGGGACACCTTGTATATACTAATTATGTATACCGATGTTACTTATACTACTTAATATCATATTCTATGGTCATGGATTTTCTTACAATTTCCACAATAATTTAGTATAATCGAAATAATTATTTCAATGCATAAATGGAAATGATATGATAACATTATACATACTAATCACGTATAGTAATGTCACTAATTTATGATAATCATTTCGAGGTATGTATTCAGATTTCTGTACATGTGAACAGGTAACTAGGAAGTGTAACATCGACGTGGTATAATTAATTTATTGTTCGATATTAATTAGTTTATGGGACTGTAAAGGGCAGTGTGCATGTATACTGACCCAGATTTGTAGCTTGACCCTTTTGTCGTGTCTGAAGACCGTTTTCACCTTAAAATCAATGCCCACGGTCGATACGAAGGCCGAGGTGAAGGAATCATCCGCGTAGCGGAACAGGAACGATGTTTTGCCGACAGACGAGTTGCCGATGATCAGCAACTTGAACATGTAGTCGAAGTTTTGGTCCGCGGCCTCCTTCTGAAATTTTGGATCCTGGGCCGCCATCTGTCAAAATATCTCAGTATAAAGAACCCGATATTGAAAATCAAAATCAATTAAAAATTACCAACGATACACAATTTATCACACCCTATACAATTCTCAGAATTTGCAAATATTATCATTGCAATAAATTCGAACATAAACATAAATACAACACGTGATTTCTATATAATACATTAACTATTTCCAATCATGGTAACATAAATTCACAATTTTCACTCACAAAACTCAAAAACTGGAATAATTTTGATAAAGGTAGAAAATAATAGTAATAATAATAACGAAAATTATTCAATCCCTAAAATATTTGAAAAATTCTTATAGAACACCTATAAATTATCACAGCACACTGGCTGAGAACCACTATACTATACAAAGTTCATTCATCCTGTAATATTGTAACAATTTCTCCAGATATATTCTTTCATCAATGTCTTTGTTGAAAGCACTCGAATCACGATTATCCTGACTACTAAATTTTCCAGCCTCGCTATACTCTCTTTACAACCTATCAAATCACGATCCACATCGTCTCTGTCGACACTAGAACCCGTCTATCCCTCTTTCCGTATTAACGGGACCACTCTGAGAGTCTGCCATCTAGCCTGGGCAGAGCAGTACTGCTCGGCAATTAGCATTATCTCGAGGAAACTAATCTACAGACACACTCATGCCGGTACCGGAAATCTGTTGTGCGGAGTAATTTCAACGATGGACATCATACGAGCCATCCTTGTCCTCATTTCCAACACGGAGTCCTTCACAGGCGATTTGTAATCCTTCTTCGAGGTCCCTGGCTCGCTTTTCGACTCCTGTTCCGCCATTTTACGAGCAGGGAATCTCTCTGCAGCTCGAGAAGAGGAGACAGGAAGGTACCTGGCACTGATCTCGATGATCTTTGATCGAACAGCAAATGGCAGAGTCGTTTAGAGCGATGCTAGATGAAGATAACGAGTACCGAGGAGGTTTCCTTGGGCCTGGAAATGGCCACTGGTCGATGATAGTGTCAACGTGGCCACATTAGCGGTTTCTTTCGTTCCTTTCCGCGTTTGCTCGTTTCTTGCCATCGTCCTTTCGGCGGTATCGCGGTTTCCTGATACGCATAAGCACGCCCACGCAGGGCTGGAGGAAGAATGGTACCAAATAGGGGCCATACTTCGAGCCTATCAACGACCTCATTTTCTACCAATTATTCTCGATGTATTTGTCCATTTCCACTTAACATGACGAGACTACTAGCACCCAGTATTTCAATAAGGCACGTGAGATAATGCAGAGGATGATGGGAAAAAGTATAGTATCTGTCACTTTTAGAACTGATACAGTAGACCATTGTATTAGCACAGCCAATAGAGTTTTTAATATTTCAATTTACGTTTAATTTATTCCTCTAGATTGTTTTCGTTGATTATATTATATTTTGTATCGTCATAAAATTTTATGCAAATTTTTCCTACGTGTTAGAGTAGTAGTAGGAATCTCGAATTCTTGTTGAGCGGAGTAAAAGATGCTTAATCATTCTATAGTGTAGAAGAGAAACTTAGGTAAGCTGTTATTATATATTTGAAATCTTCAATGTTAGTTTAGGTAACGAGATTACCAAAATTGATTAGGTTGAAATGCAAAAGATATTATTTTTTAATTCATTTGTTACGCAGTATAGATCATTTTATTTTTATTGCGCTATGAAAGAGTTAATCGTGGTACGTTCTAAAATCAAGCCTTTTGGTGCAGAGTCTGCTCTTGTGTTCAGAAGAGCCCAATAATAGTCTCTTAAGTGTCGAATTAAAATTGATTTTGTTTTATGCTTGTAGTGACATTCACAGACCTTAATCTATTCGTCAATGATAATAGATTTGCATATACGAACAATACGTGTATATGGTACAATGAAAAATAGAAGAGGTAAGAGAATGGCTGGTTAGAGACATGTAGGTATAGTAAATTAGATGTACTAAGCCATTTTTTATCCTAATCATAAAGGAATACGAATTTTAATTATTAGTTAAAAGAATTACGAATTTTAATTATTGGTCAAAGGTGTCATAACTACCAATGGGATCAAATAGAAGAGAATGACAGAGGAAGCAAACGAGATATAGCGATAAAGCATTGGCATTGACCAGTGGTGCTCAAATTACAAGATTATTACAAGAACCATATTCCACCTATGAAAAATAGTCGAGACTTGCATTTTCTATTGGAATACTACTCTTTTATGGTTATAAAAAACAAAGTCAAATAAAAAAATAGGTATATTTTGTCACAGGAAAGTTCCTTTTGAGGAAACCAAGTTTAAAAAATTTCATTTGTAGTTAGTGGAGTGTTGGAAATTTCCAAAATCTATTGTTTCCTCTCTCTAAGAGTCAAGGAGTTACCTTGGATACCTAAAAAGTCTCAATATGAGATCTTCTGATACAGATAAAGCATCATGTGGCCATTTATGTTATTAATATAGCACAAAAGAAGTACATATTTTAAGATATAATCAAAAAATTACATAATTTATCAAAATTTTGTTAAAAGTAAGTGGAGCATTTGAAATTTTCAAAATCTATAGCTCTCTTTGTAAGAGCCAAGAAATTATCTTGAATACCTAAAAGAGCCTCAAATGAGCTCTTCTAACACAGATATAACATTAGTATTAGTCATTTACATTCTTAATATAGAATAAAAGAAGAACATATTTCAAAATATAATAAAAAATTACATAATTTATCAAAATTTCATTAAAAACTAGTGGAGTGTTGAAAATTTTCAAAGTCTATAGCTCCCTTTCTCTAAGAGCCAAGGAGTTACCTTGGATACCTAGAATAGTCTCAATATGAGCTCTTCTGAGACAGATATAACATTAGTATTAACCATTTATATTATTAATATAGAACAAAAGAAGTACATATTTTAATATATAATTAGAAAATTGTATAATTTATCCTGAACTATGTCAGCACATATTTTCAAGGACCTAAAGGTACCTCTTCTTTCTAAGTCATCCTGTCATCTTCTCACGTGTACACAGAACATTCATCGTGTATCAAACATAGACAGAAGATGAATGGAGTGTCAAATATCTCAAAAATATCAGAACAAGCTGCGTTTGGGATCCATAGAGTTGATTTAATGATCTGTGTAAATCGAGCGCTTTTAACTCTTTTGATGGTGAATGTAAGTCTGCACCACTTTGAAGCTTTGTTATTCTATCATCCTGTATTCCACCAAATGCAATTCCCCGATACATCTGTAGCCATGACCGACCACATGATCGATAATCCCACAATGGGGACAATCGAATCCGATAACCTCGAACTACAGGTCCATGCAAAAGGCACGTGGCTCGGTGGAACCACCATTCATCGATCCTCCCAAGGGGAATTCGCGACACCAGAAATGGCGGAGCACGAAGATCAAGGTATGAAAAAGAATGATTGAAACGTGTCACGTGCTTCTTATTGCGATTATAATCCTTGAAATATCTGCACTGCTATATTCTGATGTAGACAAGATTGAGATGCAAATTGTATATAAAATATTTGGGTGGTCGCTATTAATAGGACATCCTGTATAACGTCATACACGTTTGATAATAATTCAAGTAACACAACGAAGATAGACAGATATGCATGTTTCTAGTTGAGTTATATAAAATAAAAATAAAATGAAAAATAAAATGGACGAAATACGAAAATCAAAGTATGAAAACGACTGATTGAAATGTGTCACGTGTTTCTAATTACGATTATAATGAAAATCTCCATTTTTCTTAATTTCTGGAGATTTTCAAATGTTTGCAGTGTTACATTTTCGTGTGACAAGATGGAGATACAAATTGCAATTACAAGATATTTGGGTGGTCACTTTTAATAGGACACCCTATATAACGTCATATATGTTTGATAATAATTCATGTAACACAACGAAGATAGACAGATATGCATGTTCCTAGTTGAGTAATATAAAATAAGAATAAAATGAAAAATAAAATCAACGTTAATTTTGTTGAGAGTGGTATATAGTATGGAAAGCAATAATAAAAATATATGGAACTAGTTATTTTCACTTGTTTGGTAGATATAGTATTATTTCTACCAGCGTTTCGTCGTTTGCGATAACTCTCTCCTGTAATTGTAGCCACGGGTTGCAGGAAATGGTAATGAACGAGTCCTGCAAGTGACTACCAAATAGCGAGTGTTATCTCGTTTGCATGAAACGGTGCTTTTGCCACATAACTGTTCCCATATGCTAAAGCCATGTTTCCAGAAACTTTTATGCAAATTACGCGAAGTTTAAAGCTGTTTGAAATAATCAAATAAAATCGGCGTATCACCTTCGTTGGAAATATTTGTATTCAGTTTGTATTTAGACAAATGTGATCTTGTTTGAGGTAGTCATTAGAGTTTAATAAGTGACACACTGCTAATTTACGAGTTAATGATTTAAATCTATATAAAATAATTAAATAAATGACGGTAGTACTTTTGTTAGAAATATTTATATTTGATTTGTATTTAAACAAAGGTGATCTTATATGTTGGTAGTAACTACAAAATTTACGAGTTAATGATATTCATGACCTTTTTTCCAAGTTTCGAACTCACGCGAGAAAATCAGACAAATATTCCGATGATAATATTCTATTTTATTATTCGACACACGTGCATGACAATAAATTACGTTTCCTTTAATCTGACTAGTAACGATCGGTAATGGGCTAATTTAAATACACCTCTCACCTATCAATGTAATAAAAAGACTCTGATAAAATATTCATGAGACAAATTGAATAGTAGAACGAAGAAATGATACCCTTATAACAAAGAGTAATTTCTCTGTGCATTTGAACATTTTATAAAATTTATCCCCAAAAGTCTGAGAATTTGGAATATTATTGCAAATTTGACGAAATAATTATCTTACAATAATCAAATATATTATTATTAATAATGTATTATACATATTATGTATAGTATATAATATAATATAGCATATATAGATAGTAGCATATTATATTATATTATACAATATATTAAATATATTATTAATTCGTAATGTCGCCAATTTTTCATCGTTTCTGACTGCTTCCTATATCACCACGAATGTTATATATCATAATAACGAAAAACGTGGAAAGTTTCCAAAAATTGTTTTCATAAAGTACTTCCAAACTTTTCTAAACGTAAGTTGACATAAATTGTCTCGTGAAACTTGCGCTATATCGGCAGTTGGCAGCCGTGTGTCGCTTCATAAGCAGATATAAAGACAATTTCGTGTCCGTGACTTTTTCCGGATACCAGGTGCGACTATAGCCATCGAGGATCCACGCGCATCACGTGAAACGAAGCATTCGAGAAAATTTTCAACGAATAACGACGAAATCGTAGTGAAAGAACAAATTTGAAGGTATGATCAATTTCACCCACTAAAAGTTGCTAGTGAATAGAGCAATTGGGTCAAGTGAAGTCAATCAGCCTGACGAAATTTCTGACTCAGGCTAACCTAGCAGTCATAAGCTAAAAAATTATAATGACATAAATCTACGATGCAGAAGTCAACAAATTCTAATCATACATCATTAA